TTTTAATTTTGTGGAGTTGCTAAAATATTTCACATTCAAACAGTCTCTGTGCCCAGTAACAATTCAGCTACAACAGTAAGGAGTGGTGTCTGAGACTTGCCCAATGCATGGCACATCATTTGTGTGTGTCCTTTATCCTTTCATTGATGTTTTTATTTTTCCACCTCTCATTTCTGTGTGTTACACAGTTTTGCAGATACAATGAATTAGAATTCACATTCCATGGTGAAGTAGATTGCTGTTATGAAGAGGAGTTTAAGTATAGCTCATAACAGGCTGCTTTTCATGTAGGCTGTTAAAATGATGGGTGAGAATACAATACTTAAGAGAGAGGGTTATTTAGTTGTAATAATAATTGATCTGAAGATGAGATAAGGAACAAAATATCTTGGCAAAGGCGAAAATATTTGTACTGTAATGGAGGTGCCTTGTTAATGTCTTTATCTTCCGTAGGCCTGCAGAAAGAGTTAGTATTCTTGTATGACCTTTGATACTGGGATTCAAATCTTTCACTGATACTTAGTTTTGAACAGACAGAAAATACTGGTGCTGCAAGTTTCAAGATGAAAACAAATTTCTATAGGCTAGTTCTATATTGTTCTCTTTATTTAGCACATTGGTTAGAACTAAGATTTGTTATGTGAATTATGCTTATGTTAGGTAAGTTTCTAAGGAGTATCCTATTTACCCGTGTTTTTACTCTCGTTCTTGCTGAAAATATGTTGCTGGAGTCCAAGGAACAATGATAGGTGGGGGGCTCATTTCCCACTAGAAGAAGCAATTTTCACATTTGATAAAGCAATTTGAGGATGTGCTTGCTGCTGTTCTTTTTCTGTGCCTGACAGCACTGCAACCTTTGACATGACAGTGTGTACAGAAATGCATCTGCTAGCATTGGAAGACAGCAAATTGATTATTTATGCTGGTCCTGTTTCTCGTGGAGGTGTTTTGCTCATCTTTGTTTTTACTGATGTTTAGGTTCATCTTGTTTGTGGAAGGAGCAATAAATTGGCTTATGTGTCTGAGCCAAGTACTTGTGTTTACTCTCTGACATTCGAGACTCCTCTTGTGTGCCACCCCCATTCTCTTTTAGGTAAGACTTTGGAAACCATTTGTGTATGGAGCAGCTGGCATATTGCACCAACCTCAGAGTGTAAATTTTTAGTTTCTTTGAGTCTCTAGGTTGATATAAATTAGTATTAAATGTAACATATGAAGTGTATTTTAAATTATAATCATTATAAACATACAGGTATTTCTCAGATAAAATGGCATTGCTAGCATAGACCCAGTGAGAGATGGGTTTTGGGTTTGGTTGTTTTTTTTTTTTCCTTTTTTTTTTCCTGTACTGGCTGCAGGAATCATCCCTGTGCGTGTCTCCTCATTTATTTACATTACAAAAAGGCACAGCATAGTTAGAATTACATTCAACAAAGAAATAGGAGGCCTTCTAGCTGGAAATATGAGAAAAAAATTTGGTTGGTGGCACTCTCCAGGAACTTTAAATATGTGAAGCAGTTTACGTTTAACCCCAACTCTTGAAAGCAGTAGAAGCTGTGTACTGTATAGAAACATTGAGTTCTTAAAACAAGTACTCTTGCATGCTACTAGAGGAGCATTTAACTAATGCAGGACAGAGCTGTTGATTTTTACATGGTTTGACTTCCATTTTTCAGTTTATCCAACTCTGACTGAAGCACTACAAAAGAAGTGGGATGAAGCAGAGCAGCTTCTGTATGATGAACTAATAACTGACCAGGTTTGTTAATGTCTTCCAACTCTATTTGGTAAAAAACCATTTCTGTCAAATATCCAACCTTGGCATTTGCTAAGTTTCTCCTTTTGGACTGGATGCATTTGTTCTGCAGTTGGCAAATAGTCATTTTTGTGCTCTGTAGCTGCTGTATCAACTGGTAATAATAATATTTTCTGTAGTGAAGCTTGAGCAGTTGGAGTGGCTAGTGCAAGTTACAAGCAGAGATGAGAGTGGAGTGGATTGATCTATTGTTTTTGTGAAACTTTTTTCTAGGGTTACAGAAAAATACTGAAAGAGATTTTTGAGGAAGCAGGACTTCTAAAAGCAACAGAAGAAAAGGAAGTTGAGAAACAGATTAAGAAAATAAGTTTTGAATTTGAAACAGTGGAGAAGTGCAGTAAGGTACAGAGTATAATCTTTACAATGTGGAATTAAGTTGCCACCTTTTTACTGGGTAACAGTATCACTGACAGTGTTGCCTAAATACCTTTGGATTCAGCTGAAATGCATTAATGGGATTTACTTTTCTGATTTTAACTGGCTGCATACAGAGTGATTTGATATCTTTATTCTAGCTCTTAAGTAAAGAACAAACCAGCACAACTGAATGCCCAATGAGAAGACAGAGTGTGGGTATGTAGGAATTGGTGTAGGTGCTCTGGTTATGAACACTTGCAAGTACTTTTTGTGGGGAATAACAGTCTGGAAATAAGAGAGAATTACTAGTGAAAATAAATGTGTAACCAGCCTTGGGAACGTTGACATTTCTCTCTGGGTAATTACCCAGACTTGCATCAGAATGCACTGGCAGAAGCAAAAAGCAGAATGATCTATGCTGTGTCCATTTCTGAATTACTTTCAGGTGTGTGAACAGTCTTTCTGCAACAGAATCAATATCCTCTCTAAGTTAAGAGAAACTGCTGAAAGTGAGAACATGAAGTTACTAGGTCAGGAGTTGGGGAGGTGGTGAATTTCCTTAGCATGATGATATAAAATAAGGCTGGTCCTGTAGCAAACTTATGAATGCAATTTTGTGCTATAATAAAATGCTAGTTAGAGAGTAGATCCAAAATAGTCACAGAGAGCACTCCTAAATTTTACTCTCAGGGCTGGAAAAAGCTGGCTCCTGTTTTGGCAACACAGAAAATACAAATTTTGTATCTTGTTCTTGGAATAAGCAGTTTATTTTTATGATCTTTTAAGTAACACCTGTTAACAGACCCATTATTTTTTACAAATTCCCATTTTATGTATACATTTGGAGAGTGGGAGAGCCATTTAAAATGTATTTTGTTTCTTAGGAATACAAGCAACTTTCTAAAGAAATAAAAACCCTGAAAGATTTATTAAGTCAGCATGGTATTGCATACAAAGGAAATTTTGGTGAGTTTTTTGGTATTGTTCTTTTTCATTATTCAGAATGTGAATACATAAATGATGTTTTTGGATACAGCAATAATTACATAATCTGTCACATATGGAGGTAAGATTCAGTAGACAAAACATTTAATAACTATTTAGGTCTTGGTTCCTGTGGAAGAGGACTTACTTTGCACCCCAGAAAAATCTGTTGATGACATGAAATGTTAGCTTTATGGGAACATTTTCACTGCTGTTGTAATTGAAGTTTGTCTCCAGTACTTAAAGTACTAAAGAAAAAGGAAGTCCATGTTACAGCATTCATAGCACATAAGCAGCTTCTAAGTAACTCTACTTTCCGCATAGTCAACCACAAGGCCTGACTTCTTCAAGAACACTTGAAATGTTCTCTGTATCTGTTTGAATTGCTTTTATCACTTTTTAGTCACCTTTTTTTTTTTTTTTTTTCCGTTTCAATGTCTGTTAGGTAAGTACCATATCACATGCATTTTTTTGAAGGAAAGACTGGTCTTGGAAGCAAAGCTTATCTGGAGTAATTCCAGTCAAGTTGATGTTTAGTTTTGTTGTGTTGGTTGGTTGGTATTTTTTGTCCCATTCCTTCCAATCTATCATACCTATTGTTACATGGACTGTTTGTCAAAGGAGGATTTAATTTCTCTGTATATTTACACCTTCTATGTTCAGAATTGGCACCCCAAGAAAACAATGGACCTTTGAGCTAATTAGCTTAAAATTAGTGACATGCGTCTTTTGGTTGTTGTTATTTTGAGAAACTTTCTTCTCTGTTCTTTCTTTTCTGGGGAAAACTCATCATATTAGGATTTTTGTAAAACATTTTGTCTGCATGTTTAAACTATTAACTATGTAACTTGCACAGTATTTCTGTTTGGTAGATTATTTAATTACGTAAATTAGAACTGTATAATCAAAAGCAGAATTCACAGCTTACTGTAGATGGCTTATTTCAAACTACTCAGTGAATTCTGTGACAAAAATGTTGATGTTTAAAAGGAGAAATAACTGATGTCTTAAACTGAATATTACAGCTGAAAATACCAGTGTTGAACACGTAAGTCACAAACTGCCAACTGCAATGACAACTCTTCTTAACGGGTCAAAGGATGATGAACACCTCCATGGTGATACAGGAGTTTGGAATGACACTGTATGAAGAAACCTGGGTGGTAAACAGTGAGTGCGTATGGCACATCAAGCAAGTTGAATGTGTATCATGCCACTGAGATGACTTACCCTCTGCCGGTATTCTCAGCTTTCTGAATTTCTGCCTTAAAGCGAAAGGAGCAAGGGCTTTCCATTCCTGAGAACAGTTGGCCAATTTCTGAGCGCATTTGTAAAACTTCTTTGCTACAGCTGCTGTTGGGCAGAGGTTTACAGGTTCTGTGCCTCCAGCCCTGGCTTTACTTTCTTTGATCAAGCATGGTACCAGGTGGTGTAAATACAAAACAGTTCAAGACCAATGCTGTAAGATGTTGTATGAAATGTAGTAAGTTTAATATTAAGAATACGTGTCTGTATGCGAATAGGTTTTCTGCCAGAGCAGTGCACAATGCACCGCTTCCCCCACCCCCGTTCAGAGGCCGGTGTCATCTTTGGATAGCGGGTGGATAAAAGGAAAGCTGTTCGGGGTCTGACAGAAGGCTCTGCGGCAACCCCAGCCGTCACAAGGCGGCAGTTGTGTTAAGGGAACACCTGGCACTTCTCTGCATGCGGTACGGAACACGGCCAGCAGTGAAACGTCACTGCGGGCGGCGGGAGCGCCGTCCGCAGCCGTTTTGCCACCCCTCCGTGAGTGTCCCCCAGCCCCGGACCCCTGCGGCGCCCCCCCGCCCTCGCGGCACCGCCGAGCGGTGCAGTTCCGCTTCCGCTGTGCGAGGGGAGGAGGCGCGCGGGCGGCACGGCGGAATGAGCTGGGCGCTGGGCCGCTGGCGGTGAGCGGCGGCCGTGGGGCGCGGGGCGGCTTTGCGCCCGCCGCCCCTGACGCGTGTGTCTTTGCAGGGCGCGGCGCCTGCGCTTGCCCGGCACCCGGATGTGTCTGGCGCGGCGGCGGGGCCCGGAGGGCGCGGCGGGCGCGGATCCGGAGGACGGGGGGCCCATCCTCTTTTCCACCAGCAAGGCCAGCCCGCGGGTGTGGAGTGTCAGCCAGTCCATGGGGAGCGACCACGAGAGGCCGTGGGTGAAAGTGCTGCCGCTCAGCCTCCTGTGCACTGGGCTCCTGCTCTGGTGTGTGTTCAGGGAACCAACGGAGATCGATGAGCGACTGGAAGCAGTTTTCTCTGGTCAGATGATGGACTCTTCAGATGTGGCGCAGAGAAGCAACGCTCCTTTGCAACTTGAGAAGGAGAAATGAGGAGGACGGGAATGCGGCTGCAGTGAAGGAGCTGCCAGTAGTTTGCTGGCATTCACCTGCTTAAAAGCTGTACTAACAATGTAATGGGAGAACTTGTTTTTGCAGGCTTGCCTTATAAGCTTGATTCCTTCATGTGTCGTGCTGCTTTCAGTGCTGGTTTTAGTAATCTAAGCTGGTAGCACAAAGAATAGATTCTTCCTGCGCTGCACCGTAGGGGTGGACAGGATGTATTGCAAATCAGCTTGCATTTGAAGATACGTTTTATACAACCCATCTCTTTTTCATGGATCATTTTTCTTACATGCACAGTATATTAGAATATCAAAGCTGTAAGTCTGTAAAATTGTTGTTGAAGGTGACCTTCATTTGACATTTTGCTAGTCACAGAGCATATTCAACTTGCATTGAAGACAACTGTAGGTTTCATTAATATGTGATTCTGTATTCTGTTTTTTTTGTTGTTGTTGTTGTTTGTGTTTTGCTTGTGTTTTGGGTTTTTGGGGGGTTTTGTTTTTTGTTGTAATTCTACTAAATGGTGTAGAAATCATCTTCAACCCTTAATTCATACTTGGTGCTTGCTTTCTGACTATAACCTTTTAGGCATGCCTGATTTAGATTATCATTACTGGGAGGAGAGGTTTTGTAGGGAATCGAGATGATTGGGTTGCAGTGTGTTAGGAGGAAACCCCTCATTTCATGAACAATGTAGTATGTTTTTTTCCTTACAGGTATATCGATACTCAAACTTGCACACTCTGGACACTTTTCAGGGAGAGGAGGAATTTAAGCTACTCCTACAGCTTATTTCCCGTCAAAGTTAGAGGCATTTCTTTTAAGCTTTCTAATGTAAAAATGCAAAACTTTATGTGCCGTTAAAATTCTTAATCTTTAAAAAAAAAGACAAACCCGAAACATCATCACCACCACCTGCCACAACAAACCGTTAACTCCAACCGTGGCAGCAGCCGGTAAGACTACGGTGAAAACTGGCACAGCATCATGTTTGTCTGACACTGCTGGTGAGTCTCAGAACAACATGCACACTATGCTTTAATTTTGCTGTTGAGTCCCCCTGTAGTTCATCCAGGTGATGCCTAATAATTGAGTATGGTTGGTTTGCTACTGCCATTAAGGTTTAATTAGTTCTAGGACTCACTTTCTACTGCAGTAGACTGTCGCAACTGAGATACGCTCGTAGGGGCGTCCAGGCGAGTAACACTGATTCTGAATTATATGTGTATTGCTCTAAGGTGTAACGCCTATTTGTCTGCCTACTTTGCTTTCTCCACGTTCTTTAAATCAGTGCACCCAGCAATGTACTACTTGTATTTAAGGAAATAAAAGGGCTGCCCCTTCGTGCGTGCCTTATTTTTGGGTAATGATAGGTGTTTAATAAAGATGATTACCTAGAAAACTGTTCCCGTTGTCTCTTGCGTTGAAACTTCCCAGCTCTGCCTGCAGCGTTTCTTCGGGCGGCTCCTGGTGGGAGCCCGCCTGAGGCGCGGTCCGCACGGCGCGCGTGGGACGGGCCCGCGTTGTAGGGGGCGGGGCCGGTAAGACCGAGCTGCGCCTGCGCGCTGGCGGGCCGGGGAAGATGCCGTCGGTTGCGAAGGTGGTGCGGCGGGGCGGTGGGTCCGAGCAGCCAGCGCACTACACGTACGTACTGCGCCCTGGAGGCGCCGCGGGCCGCAGCTTCGCCTGGGAAGGGCCCTGGGACCAGAGGCGGAGGGCCCGGTGGCGTGCCAGGCCTGTTCCGCGCGGCCTGCTGCGCTGGGGGGAGATCTGTGAGGAGACCTGGCCCTGGCCGGCTCCCGCCGTGCTCCTTTTCCCGCTCCAGGCACCTCGGGGAGGAAGCCGTGTTCTGTGCCGGCCAGTTGGTGGTGGTCCGGGCACGGCTGCCTGCAGGGCCCGTGCGGCGGTTCCCCTCGCCTTGCATCTGCTCCCACGGCCGTGCCTCTCTGGGCTGCACGGTGTGCTCCGGTATCCCGAGCCGTGCAGCACCCTTTCGCGCTCCGAGACCGCTCTCTCCAAGCTATAACAGCAGTCTTCCCACTTTCGAGCGTTTCGCAGCCAGCCTCAGCTCGAGTCCTTGGGGTGTTTCCGTGATAATGTTTGCAGACCTTCCCATACTGAAAGGCAGTTCCCGTGTGCTTGCCATCCTCTCTACAAGCCTGCCTGTTTTCTTTTATGGTCTATAAAGGGCTTGCAGCCCCTGGCATTACTGACAGCCCATCTCGTGTAGGAGCAGGTGCGGCACATACATGCGGAATGATTTGTCACATACCTTTACTCCCATCTCTCTTAACTTCACTTTGCAACGTCACATTTCTAGGACGCTCAGAAAGACTGCAGGAATGAGGCCGTTTACTCAGATACTGCTACAGCCCTTAACGTACAAATGATCTGTTCTAGTGTGGGGTGGTTTTGTTTGTTTTTTCCGTTCCCCACAGGCCTGGGTAGTTTGAAGATTCTTGTCTAAACTTAAAGGCATGCTTCATCATTCTGTCTTACGGTACCCTCCGTGGGCCAATTTAAGCACCTGGGTAAGAAAAGATGCCCAGTTCCTCTTTCTGATCCTTTCTTTGTGTGATCTTAAGTTCTTTTAGAGACGTCTTGGAATTCTGAGGCTCTTCTGTGAAGTCCCCATATACCTTTTCCTCTGCAAAGACTGCATAACTTTAGCAAAGTAATGAACTTGCTAAGTTGGCTAATAGACATATAAACTGAGGCAGGAAGAAGTGCTGTCTTACATTCTTCGAGAAATTGGCATGATCTTGATATCCTGTGGAAAGAAGTATTGGACTTTCTATCTAGCTTTTGTGCCCTGCATGCTAAAGACGGACTGTCTTACTAACACCTAAGTAACCTCCAGAGATTGCAGACTGTCTCAACAGAAACATAATAGTTGCTAAAGTAGGCTTGATGAAGCTCTCTCATAGTCCTGGTAACTTCCATAAAGCTCTTTTAACCCGTTAGCTTTTTATACAGTGTGTCCATGTTCTCTGAATGTTGTGATTAAAGACTAGTTTAAATTAGATGTGATTTTTTAGGTAAAATAGCCTTTGTAGGACTACCTTGTATGGTAGCAGACAATGTGAATGCTTATTCTAGTAACTTGTTTGATTTATAATCTCTTTGGTGGTTACTTTGCACAATATTCTAAATGTTGTTCTTTTTAAACTAATGTGTTTATTTGATTTTAGCTTAGTTACAATATAGTATAATTTGCCAGGTGTTCCACTGTATTTTATTAGTAATACGTTTATCAAAATAATGAAAGTCACTTGTATGCAACAGCTAAACAGTGCATTGTGCATAGAACTAAAACTGTATGCAGGTACATTTGTAGAATTTTTCATGGGCTATGTGCACTGAATTGTTAAGTGACTTGTTAATACTGTAAAAATGTGCCTCCAACAAGATAAACTTGTAAAAATGTGCCTCCAACAAGATAAACTTGTAACACAGTTTAATTTTTTTAGGTATCTAAAGGAATTTAGGACAGAGCAGTGCCCCCTATTTTTGCAGCACAAGTGTACCCAGCACAGACCATTTACCTGTTTTCATTGGCATTTCCTAAATCAGCGTCGTCGTAGACCTATACGAAGGCGTGATGGGACTTTTAACTACAGTCCAGATGTTTACTGTACGAAATATGATGAGACTACAGGAATCTGCCCAGATGGAGATCAGTAAGTGATTTCTTTCAGTCCTAGATGTTTATAGTATTATCAATGACATTAGGGAAAAATGATAGTTTTTACTTAGCAAAAGTGATTGATAGAATTCTGCTGCAATTTATTTGGAAACAGATTTCAATAAGTGATTTGTTAATTTTTGGTACATACATTTCTATATAAGCATGTATTCTTGAGGCTATTGTAGAGTTAGAACTATGATTTTGCGTTGTGGTGGTCTTTAAAGCATAACACAAGAAACTGGTTTTTTGCTGGTATTGTTCCTGTACATTTGTCCCAGTATTGTTGCTGATCCTTTTTTACTTTTCCAGTTGTGCTTGCTTATTCTCCTGGCAGCTTTAAAATTGACGCCTAGGTGCCAGCCATACTGTGTAGGGCTGGCTCCAAGATTTTAAACCTGCCTAAGTTTTATGAAGGTTGACGGGTAGTAAAGGAGAATGACTGTTCCATGATGCTTCCAGTGAGAAAAGGCAAAGGAACTAATTTACTGTTAGCTGTCTGGCTAGGCCGTTAGTGTTTGCATTTCCATGGACATATATCTCTTCTGGAGCAAGGCTACAGCAGCCTGCAGTGAACTTGAGGAGGGGTAGAAGCTTTGTGGAGATGAGAATGAGCAAATAGTACAATATGGCAGGCAGGCATACATAGAGGAGCTGGGCATATTGTGGTTATATGTCAGAAGAGCTACCTTCATCTGCAGTGGTGGAAGCAATGAAGGACTTCTGACAAAAAGAAAAATAAAACGAAAGGCAGGAAAGCAACTGGAAAATATGTAGTTTTGCTGAGCAGCTGTTTAAAAAAATGTAAGATTAATTATTTTGGTTACTGTGGTGTATAGTAGCACTTGTCACAGATCAGCTATCTTTTGTGTTGTATGCTGTAGTCACAGAAGGAAATGATGGATTTTTCCCAGAGGCTTTACAAACTAAACAACAGAGATAAGAGAAGGTAAACAACAGAAACACCCTAGGCAGCCTGAAAACACTGAGTACCATGCCTAAGCAATAGAAAGAGAAAAAAATGTCTCTGAAGTATGATGTAAAAGAGAACAATTAATTACCTTTTCAGGCATTTGTACAGCATTCCTGCCGATCCTAGGGATCGTAGGCCTGAGACAATATTGAAGTTGGGAGATACACTGCAGGGAGGGGTTGAGAGGAAAGTGTCAATATAGCTGAATTCCCACAAATGAAAGAATAATGTTTCAAGGGGAAAAAAATTGAGTAACAGCAGACAGTAAATTAAGAAAATAAAGATAGACGTGAGTAGAGAAAATGAAATGTTTTCTTTGGCTCAGTTACAAGGTGAGATTATTGAAGACATTTGTGAGGGAAGTTTCAGAACTGTGAAGGGCCTTAGTTTAGATCTGATCCTGAGAACTGCTGGCTAGAAATCATAGCCAACTATTGTAAGTTGGTAACTGAAATTAAGTCAGAAGAGAAAAGGCATACATGGCAAATGGTTGGGAAAGGCAAGAGAAGTCAAGGGTAACTTGCTTAAAGATAGACAACACCACAGCATATCTGAAGTGGCAGGAGAAAAAAATGGAGGAAATCACCTACATTTCTGAGGACATGCTCACAGTGTGGTAGTATTCCTGTTTCAGAACTTGGCAAAAGAGTATGTTTTGACCCTGTTTTTTTTGTCTGCCTAAAATTTGGCCTTTTACTTCGAGCAACTTCAAATTCTTATAGGTTACAAGCAGTAGTGCCAAGACAACTTTGTTTTAAGCTATCTGTGACAACC